GAAGGGCACAGGCAGACTTAAGGGAGATGTGCTCGGCTCTGTACCCCGGATATAGATTCATAAGGGCTTTGCATGGCCTTGTAAGGCTGTTGGATTTTGTCCTGTAGGTGATGAACTATTTGTTGATGGTTTTGAATGACAAGTGGGCTAGCTATGTGGCTCAGTAGCCTACGTAGCCTTGATCCCATCACTCCTTGGAGCCTGAGGCAGGAGGATTCCCACGAGTCGAGCCTGGGCTACATAGTGGGTTCAAAGCTAGCCTGGAATACAGACCAAGACCTTGTCTCATAAAAAATTAAAAAAGAAGAGGAAGAAGAAAGAGAGGAAGAAAGAAGAAGAAGAGAAGGAGGAAAGGAAGAAAGAAACAGTAACAAACAGGCAGGAAGATCAACATGAGTTTGAGGCCAGCCTGAGCTACATAGTGAGTTCAGGGCCAGTCTGAACTGCAATGAGACACAGTATAAATAAATAAATAAATAAATAAATAAATAAATAAATAAGAAAGACCCTGTCGGATGGGATTGGAAGCTCAGTGGTAGTGTGCTTGTGTAGCATGCATAAGCAGCCAGGTTCCAGCAGCAGCACTGAAAAAGGAAGGAAAGGAAGGAGGGAAGAAAGAAAGAGCCCCTCATCCTGAATAGGAAGGTGAAATGTGAGGAGACTGGAGGAATAAAGGCCAATCTGGAAGCTATTTCATGTCCCCAAGTTACTGGCCCTCCCCTACTTCCCTATGGTAAGAAAATGTCTCAGTTTGTATGACAAAACATGTTCACAGACAAGGCTGTAGCCAGAGGCAACAGAATCCCCCTCAGTACCTCAGTACAACTCTCAGCCATTTCATATATACACAGGAAAGAGACAAGAGTGGCTTTGGGAGGAAGACGGTAAGGCCCAAAATAAAACAGCAGCAGTCGGGATGGCCATGATGTTTGTAGATGCTCCTGAGGCACATCTGGTGAGTTTGTAGATGCTCCTGAAGCACATCTGGTGAGTTTTGGGCTCTCATAGCAACCATCCACTCCCAAATCTCTGTGTGTCCTGCTACTGAAGATGGGGATGAGGCAGGAAGGGAAATCTGCTCCCTCAGTCCCATTCCACCCTCTGTCTTTTTGTTTATCCTTGCATTGCGACTGAGAAGCATCCATTAAAAAAATCCCTAGTGTCTCATTCTAATAATGACTCAAAAATACCACTTCATCCCTGGCCCCTCTCTCGCTGGAAAAAAAGAACTGTTGCTTCTTAGGGTACAGATCGTGCCTTTTCCCACCAGAGACATTTCGTGAATTCTATATAGAAGCGTCACTGAATTTCTGCCCATGGGACAGAATCCAAATGCCCTATTGTGGCCTGTGGTATAATTGGATGCATCATAACCATGAAACAATTCTAGATAATTTCTGCTCCAGCAGGAGGTTGTGTGGTATAGACATAGCATCATATGAGTTCTAAGATAGGAAAGGACTTCAAGGGAGAATTGAGATGCTGATTCAGGAACCTCAATATAAGCTGATGTCCTGATGGAGAAGTGAGAGTTGTAGGTAGCCCCTGGGACCTAAAAAAGGTGAGGAGGTCGCACAAAAAGTGCCAGTCACAGAGAGAGACAGAGATAGTCAGCACATTGTGTCACCTCACAAAAACAGAATCCAGTAAAAGACTTTCCAAAGGAAAATATGATCACTTGTTGGCAATAGTAACAAGCTGAGAGAGGCAGTGAATAGATCAGGTCGCACACTATGGCCCATGAGCCAAATCTGACCCAGCACTTATTTCTGTAAATAAAGTTTTATTAGAACACAGTCACATTTTTTTGTTTAGTTTATACATTCTCCTTAGCTGTTTTCATACTGATGGCAATCTTGTTGCAACAGAGCCTTTATGACGCATAAGACCTAAAATATTTACTATTTAGCCTTTTATAGAAAAAATCTGTGCCAACCCCTGGTCTATATGAGTTATAAAATACTCGTCTCAAACTATGTGTTCAGACCCTGGGAAATAGCAAAGAAAACTAGTGCAACTTGGTACTGGGGACCAAATTTACAACCTTGCACTTGTCAGGCAGGCACTTATACTGCTGAACCAAATCCCCGGACCTTGGTGACTAAGTTCTATCAAGTCCTCATGATGACCTTTCCTTTTTACTGGAAAGGCTACTACCATAGTGGAACCCAGGGCCTTCACATTGGACTACATTCCCAACCACTCCCCCTGCTTTTTTTTCTGGTACCAGGGATCAAACTCACCACCTTGACCTCAACCTCGAGCTTGCTAGGCAGGCACTTAGGCCACTGAGCTAAATCCCTGGCCCTCTCTTTTTGAGATAGGATCTTTCTAAATTTCCCAACTGGGTGGGAACTCCTGCTTTAGTCTCTCAGAGATTACAAGCGTGCACCACCACACCGGTTGAGAATTCCCTTTTATTTATTATTTATTAATTTATTTATTTTGGGTGTTTTTTTTTCTTTTTGAAATAAGCTGTAGCCTATAGTCCAGAGTGGCCTTGAACTCACTATGTAGCCCAGACTGGACACCAACTCAAGGCAATCTTCCTGCCTCAGCCTCCAAGTGTTGGGATTACAGGTGTGTGCCATCGCACTGGCTCTGAAAACTTGCTTTTATAACAGAGCCCCTTCCTTGCTCATTGATGAGGTTAGCCCCTTGATGATCTAATCAATTGCTACTTTGGGGACCAAGCCTTCCACATGAGCTTTAGGAGGATGTTCCAAACCAAACAGTCTCCCAAGCAACTGACCGCAGGATTAATTTGATTGATTTTAAGGTTAAAAACAAATTAACAGAGTAGGCTACTGTTTTCCAAAGTAGATTAAAAACATCAAAATGTAGCTTAAGGTTAGGATGCTTACCTAGTAGGCATGTGGCCCTGGGTTTGATTGCCAAAAATCTTCAAAAAGAACCAACCTTGTTAGTATAAAATATTCTATTAAAATAGAACATTCCAGCACTTAAGAGGCTGAGGCACAAGGATTGTCATGAGTTCAAGGCCAACCTGGGCTACATAGTGAGTTCAAGGCTGGTCTGAACTACATGGTAAGACCCTGTCTCAAAAAAATAAGTAAAATAAAATAGAACACTGTGGTCAAATAAATTTGGAAAACATAATACTGAGAGCCCCCTTGAACTTTCTATAGTATAGTATAGTATAGTATAGTATAGTATAGTATAGTATAGTTCTATAATATGGTATAGGGTTTGAGAATTCCCAGAGTAAAACTATCTGCATAATTTTGTTAAACCTAGCATCACAAACATATTTGACCAAGGAGGTGGTTTATGAAGCATCAGTGATTCAAATATGATGGAGAATACCTATAACCCCAGAACTGTGAGATGGCAAGGCAGAAGAATCCCAAGTTCAAATCAGCTTGGGCAATGTAACCACTTAGTAAGACACCATTTCAAAATAAAAAGTAAAAGGGGCTGGATGTAGCTCAGTGCCAAGGCCCTGAGTTCAAGCCTTGAGGTGGGGTGACACCAATGAACACTTCATAGCTCACTTTGGGAAATAGAAAGTGAAGGGTAGAACAGGAAAACCTGAGCAAGTCTTCAGGCCAGAAAGGCTTTAGCCCTAAAGACACAACCAGGACTTGATTCCAGGGTGCTTTCTGTGTCCTGGGAGCTGTTCTGAGTGTTACAAGACCATATGGAGATGAACAAGAGATAACCCTTCTGCTCAAGGTACTTACAGTCAAGAATGTTCCAGGCTGCTCCTCAGCCTGACTTGGAGTGTCAGCTTCTACCTGGCCCACACAGCTCCCAAGCTCTGACAAACACAAAGACAGCCACACTGCAGTCACATAATGTTATATAATTCTAATCTATTTACAGATTGCTGAGACTCATGAGGGTAACTTTAATCAAGATCATAAACTTGTATAAATAAAACATTAGAGATATAAGTTTCAAAAGAAAAACAATATCACTTTATTAGAAAGAGGAGAGAAATGAGACAGACAGCTACCTCTCTGAAAGTAAGGTAAGGAGGCTGGGCATGGTGCCACAGACCTGTAATCCCAACACTCAGGAAGCTGAAACAGGAGGATCACTGCAAATTCGAGGCCAGCCAGGCTATAACGTGAGATCAAGGCCAACCTGAACTGCATAGCAAAACTCTGTCTCAAAAAGACAAAAAAGAAAAAGAAAGGAAAGAAGATAGGGAGCCTGGAGTCAGTGCTCGAAGGTCTTTGTTCTTGGTCCCTTTCATTATATTGTAAGGAAAAAAACCTCCCCTCTGTAATTTATTACAACTTGATTGACTGTTTCAGGCTCTGAGATCCCTGACTTGGCCACTGACCCTGTCTGTTGTCTACATGCAAATTCTTGGATAAGCTCATGTGGCCTTCTTTGTCCTGCCATGGTGCTGTCTCAGATTTATGATGGGTCTGACATACAAGGCCGAGTTAGCAGTTAGTAAAGGAATATATGTATACTTTCATGCAGTAACATGGTGAGAGAGTATGTGTGTATGTGTGCACATGTGCAAATGTGAGTATATATTTTATATACTGAGTTTAAAAAAAAATTATCCCTCTCCCTATTTTGCCTCCTTTGTACTTAACTGGAGCTAAAATACAAACAAACAAACAAAGAACCTGAGGCCTGGCACCAAGCTGGCCCAGGCTGCTTATCAGTTCTCCTTGGTTCTCTTAATTGCTCTCTCTAACAGAGGTTTAACATAAATTGTAGTCTACATTTGCCAAAAACTTCACTGGGGCCTTATCTCTTTCCATACCTGCCCCATTTTCCCTACAAGGTGAGTCATTAAATGTGCAAGTAAAAGTTTATTTCATTTTGATACCTTGGTAAAATTTGCTACAAAGAAATTTCCAAATCAGAAAACACTTTGCCAGGACTGCCTCAATTTGGGGTTTGGAAAATATGGTTCCTGAAGTATGGAACCCATCTTTTCTCTGTTACCATCCTCCAGGAAATGCATCTACCTGGAACCTTCTCACATCTGTGTCTTCCCATCTCTTCTGCAGCCTCTGGTTCTGTTGATGGAGTGGCCTGAGGCCACCAACTTTGCCTGCCTGATTGCTGGGTACTGCCGCCTCCTGCTGGATTCCAGGAAGATGGTCTTCTCCAGGCCTGTCAGCCAACCTCTTCCACCTCCAATGATCAAGGCAGGTAGGGCTCAGCCCCGGTTTCCAGTATGCCTTGCTGGCAACCCTTTGGACCCTAGAGATTTGGAGGGAGGAGCTCCACTGCCTTAGCACTATCTACTGATAGTGCCTGATTTACAGTAGCTGGGTACTGTAGCATGCATCTTCTCAAACATCGCAGTGGGAAAGTCAGCCAGCCTTCACATGTGTCTGTGCTACAGAGGAGGCCTATGAGAACACATTGCAATTGAGTCAATGAATGAATGTAAAATAAAAATAGAAAACATGGGACTGAGCCAGTTAAAGAAGAGCACTAAGCCGGGCGTGGTGGCTCATGCCTGTAATCCCAGCACTCTGGTGGCTGAGACAGGAGGATCGTTGCAAGTTTGAGATCAGCCTGGGCTACAAAGTGAGCTCAAGGCCAGCCTGAACTGCAGAGTGAGACCTTGTCTCAAAAAGACAAAAAAAGAAAAAAAAAAAAAAAGAGCACTGACCAGGCATCACGGTATGAGCCTATAATCCCAGCTACTTGGAAAGCTGAGCCAGGAGGATCTCACATTCATAGTAAGCCTGGGGAGCATAGTGAGACCTCCATGTCAAAAAAAAAAAAAGAATTGTATTGGACCTAAGGCAACTCTTTAGAGATTCAGAGATCTAGTAGAGGAGATGCCTGCATATTCTGGCTTAATTGAAGCAGATTTGAAGATAAAACCTTTTTATTTATGATAGTGGTGATTGATAAGGTTGCCTGAAATATGAGGCCATTGAAGACTGAGGCAAGAAAGATGGGGCAGAGCCAGAGGAGGTCTTAGAGGCAGGATAGGATGCTCATAAAGGACAAGTGCAACCCTCAGACAGAAAGCCTCCCAGTTAGGCAACTCAGGGTACCCACTTCTGAGCAACTGTCCTGCTCATGAACAAATCCGTCACAAAGCCATGATATTCCTGTTTTCTGTCTCACAGCACTGTCCACAGGGACTAAAGGGCAATCTACCAAACAGACTTGGGAAAGGATAGGTGGCCCCAATGGGTGTGAAGAGGGCTTCACATATCAAAGCAAGGGAGACCAGGTGTGATAGTGCAAACCCACAGTCTCAGCACTCTTGAGAGACTGAGGCAGGAAGATTGCAAGTTCAAATCTGGGCAACTGAGTAACTTAGTGAAAGCATATCTCAGCATTAAAAAGAAAACTTCTTCCTGTGGAGGACAGATGGGCATATAGTTCAGTGCAAAGGCCCTGGGTTCAATCACCAATACAGAGATTTAGAGAGAGAAGAGGTGGTGTACAAGTGAATAGCTCTGCCAGAATTAGCATTATCAGTGTCACCTGTGGTCCTCCTCTGTCTAATCACATCCAAGTAAATTATGTATCTCTTACTGAGGACGATGGAGAGGGAAAGGGGGTAAAAGGAAGGCCAAAGGAAGGACGTGGAAAGCAGCCAAGGACCAAACAGGACAGTGAGAGATGTTGCACATTCTGAAGGCATTAGTGGGGCTCTGTAGTCCCTCTCTGTCTGATCAAAGGTTTCTGCCCACCCATTAGCACCCTGGCCAATGCTTGTTCCAAGTATTTCCATTGCTCTAGGGACAGTGGTGCCAAGTGAAGGACACGAGTTTTATGCACACCTGCAGCCTAAACACCTTCCATGTTGTTTCTCTGTTGCTTTTCCAAAGGCAAATCTGCTTCATTGGATTGTCTTGGAGCTAGGGGGCTTAGAGCTCCTCTCCCTGATTGCAGAGAACCCCCTTGTTCTTGAAGAGTGACAGAGGCTCAGCCTGTCCCCTGGCACAGGGTCTGTATATTATGCAGTGGCCAAATGGATTGCTGTGGTGTCTCCAACTGTTTGTAGAGCTTCTTCTTCTTAGGGAAGGAGCAGTCAACTCTGGGGTAGAGCCAATAGAAATACCTAGTTCTTCCTTCCCTGTTTCTTTTGACCAGAAAAACAGAAACTTGAATTTGGTATTAGCTCCCCAGGGGCTTGGTGAACTGCTTGATCCATTCTTTTTTTTTAAAGTAAGTTTATTGTTACATTTTAGGTATAAATAATGAACACATCTATTATAGGAAATTTGTATCTATACATGATGTAACTTGATTGTTTTTGTCCCCGTTCTCCTCCCTTCTGTTCAGCCCTGATTACCCTCCTTATTTACAAAATCTTCCTTCTTTTCACACCATTTTTTTATTTTCCCTTATCCCTCCCCCTCCCGTTCTCCTTCCCATTTGAACATTTTCTTCCTATTTCATAATACTTATTATACATTTTGGTCCTTATTTACACTTTTGGTTTCTGAAACTAGAGAAAATGTAGTATTTACATGTGTGCTTTTAATGTGTTTCACTTAACAGAATGCCCTCAAAGGGCATCCATTTATCTAGAAATGTCTCAAGTCTATCCTTTATGACTGAATAGTACTCCACTGAATACAAAAACCACATCTTCTTTATCTATCCATCAGTAGATGGGCATTCAGGTTGTTTCCAAGATTTAGCTATTACAAACTGCATTAGGTCATTTCTTGGCCTCCTGGACTATTAGGTGCTAGGATGGCAGCAGCCGCCAAATACTCTTGCTAGTTTGCTGAGCTGCAGCCACCCTAGAAAAGCTCCAAGAGTGCATATCTTATCCCATGGTTTCTAGAAAGGGAAGGACATCACTGAGGAGATATCAGCCTGAGGTACAGTGGAAAGACTATCAGTCCCTTCTTATAGACCTTTAGAAGTGAGGTCCAAAGCTAAGATCACTTCCTTCTGTCTTCACTTATACTTCAGAACAGAAGCCTCAGTGTCTACGGTTCATTTTTCAGTAAAGGCCTATAGGAGTACGCACCATCAGGCTAAAGCCACAACCTGCATGGGGCCTAGTCTCTCTGGAAAGGAGGAAGAGATATGGCCAGCTCTCTATTCTTATCCTACAGCAGCTACTGGCTCCCAGCTAGCCTGGCTCATTGCTCAGCCTCCTGGCCCTAAAAGATACCATTAAAACAGCATCAGGGGTCTGTGGATTTAGCTCAGTGGCATAAGTGCCTGCCACACAAGCATAAGGTCATGTGTTCAATCCCTGGTACAAAAAAAAAAACCCCAGCATCAGGGAAAGAAGCTATCACTACTCCCAGCCTGAGGAAAAATGGAAAAGTGGTAGGAAAGGAATTCCTTCTCAGTGGCTTCATCAAAGGAGGTACTGCACTTACTAACTGCACAAATATTCCTCTCATTCTCATTCTGCCCAGGATTGGGGTGTAGTAAAAAATAACAGACATGGCCCTTGTGGCAGTCCTCTTATAGCTTACAGGCTAGTGGGAGAAATACAAACAGATGATTAAAGAGCAACGCCAATACAGTAAGTATGTTTGCATTTACCTGGGGGTAATTCAGCAATCATACAGAATACCACTTGTGTTTGAAAACACAGATAGCATCTGAGCTTAGAGAATGGCTCAGACAGATACAACTGTCCATCTATTCTTGGGTGGTAGGAAATCTAGAGCCAGTTGTCATGTCTCTCCGGAGCACCCTGTGTCCCAGAGAAATCCAGGAAAATAAGCCTTCTGGGCTTCTAACAAGCCTTGTAAGGCCCTTTTTTTTGGGCTGAAGAAACTACATATACTACCATATTTAGAAATAGTTTAGTGTGGTTAATGGCTACTATATATCCCATGCAGTTTACCAATTTTCATGTAGGTAAAAGGCAGCAATATATACCAAGTACTAAAGTTAGACTGAAAGTAATAGACTTTTTATGATAATTCAAAAGAATATGAGAGTCTTGCAAGGCCTCTAAGTCATTATTATAATCAGTGATCACTGAACTGTAGAATATATCAGGGACAAGTATTAAAACCGGTTCACTGTATGCATTTTTTAACATAACTACAGTCAGTTCACTGTCCCATTCTTTGCAGGCAATTTTAAAGGCAATTTTCTTGGTGTCTGAGTACAGAATGATAAAGTAGGGCACCTCCCCACTTTGGGGAAAACTGATAATAATGTAATGGCCTTCACAGTCTAATGTTTGGTGATATTTCCATCTTGGCTGAGAAGAGTCCCTACCCCCTTTTTGGATATGCCCCTGGGAGCTACCTCACCGCCAGGCTGGCAACAGCTCATCACCAGGCCCGTTATCCTAGTTTCTCAGTGTCTCAGGTAGGTGGCACCTGGTGATCTGCAGGCAGTTCCCTGACTGCTAGTTCATGCCCCTGGCTCAGTTTTCCTCGAAGTGCTACTCTATTCCTTGAAGGCCTGGACAGAGAATAGTGTTCCCCCCAACTGATCCAGACTGCCCTTGATACAGCCAGTGAGGCTTAATTTAAAACCACTCAATGTAATGATGTGGAATCTGTATTTGGTGGGGCAACGCGGGAAAACCACAAGAGTTTGGGGTTTACAGGCAAAGAAACTTGGATTCCGTTCCTTAATCTGTCATTTCTTAGCTGTGTAAACATGAGCAAGTTCTATAAACTGAGTCTCAGTCTCCTCATCTGTAAAATAGTCTCCCCCCACCCCTTTTTTTCTCTTTTGGTACCAGGAACCAAACTCAGGGCCTTGTACTTGCCAGGCAGGCACTGCATCAATGAGCTACATCCCCGGCCCATCATCTCTAAAATGAGGATAATAATGCTACTTACTTCAGGGGCCTAGGATTTAGCTCAGTGGCATAAGCGCTTGCCTTGCAAGCAAAAGGTCATGAGTTCAATCCTCAGGCCCCCAACAAACAAACAAAAAAATACTACCTACCTCATGAGAGGTTTGACAGGATTGTGTGAGCTTAACTATGTAAGGTCCATTCACAATGCAAAGCACATTTTGTATTTTGCTCTTTTGTCTTTTAATTTTTATTATTTTATTTTATTTATTTGTAGTACTGAGAATTGAATTCAGGGCTTAAATGTTGAGCTACATTCCTATGCATTTTTAAAAATAATTTATATTGAGACAGGATCTCACTAAATCACTTAATTGCTCAGGCTGGACTAGAATTTGGAACTCTCTTGCCTCATTCTCCAAATGCTAGGATTACTGGTGTG